CAGAGTTGTGGTTTTTTTTAACACACAATCCAATCCAACTTTTTTTGTATAGCACATTTTATAAACAAAACAGTTTCCAAAGTGCTTCACGTACCAATGTAAAACATTTAACTTATATATATATTATATATATATATATATATATATATATATATATATATATATATATATATATATATAATATATATATATTATATATATATATAATATAAAATAAAACCTATAAAAAAATAATAAAATTAATACATAAGAGCAGTACTTAAAAATAAAATAGATAAAAAACAATGGCATCACATCTAAACAAAAGGGATGGCCAATAAAATATTTAGTTGTTTTTATTCGCAAATATTCTCATGTAAACAGGCCCTTAGTTTTGAGTTCTTCTCTCAAACTGAAAACACTGTTCCACTTTTTGATGTCATGTGGTAATACAGGAATTGCTCCCCTGTGTTTTTAAACTCCAAACACCTTCACTAGAATCATTCGGATTATTTCAGACCTGGAATACACTGAACTAAAGGTAAAAGGAGCTGTTGACTTGAAAACTACAGAGCAGTTTGAACTTTGGGGATGTAAACAAACTAATAGCCCAGGATTACTCAAACATGTGTGAATGAAACAAAACACAACTCCAGGTTTGTTTTTGAAGAGGTAACAGCATTAAACCATAGCTTAGACCTCACAAGAGTCAATTTTGCGTAATATAGGACCTTTAATGATAATGAGAAGCACTACAGTCCAGCTGACAATGAACTCTTACGACCACAGTTATGAAGTACATGCCCTCGAGCTCTAACCCTGCTATAACATTTTCCAGCCTTCCTCTCCCTGTGTTCTCAGTGTCGGTAAACCTTCTCTTCTCTGTCCCAACAAAACGAGATACGCCTACACTATGGCAGCTCACACTGTTTGCACCCAGCCACTCGGAAAATACAATTATTGGGCCTCCCCTGGTCTGTGAAATTGCTGTAGGAGCTGTTAACACGCAGCAGTCATAATCACTGATAAGAGATGCACAGGGCCGAGCTTGTGTGCGAATACAATACGCGGAGCGCCCCACCGCTCTGCCCATCTTGTTACTAAGTGATGCTGCAGTTAGGAGGGGAGCGGGCAGATGTGACAGCTGTCTGTGCTCTTCTCTGTGGGCTCCTGCTAAGATCATGCTCAAGAATACAGCACGCTACTTAAGGCGTATTAATATTACCGAGATGAGATTCAGAGGAGCAGGGGATGCAAAGGGGAATGTGAAGAAAGGGACTGGCAGTGTAGAGGACTTTGAGGTTGCAGTAACGTTTGAAGTGCGAATTAGTTGTAAAAAGTAATTGTATTAATGTGCCCGCAGATGTGTTTGATGAAATCAAAAGAAGATCAAATATGTTGAGCATTTTAGTTTGGTAAGGCTAGAATCCAGTTAGTGAATTGTGATTATTCTACTGTTTTAGATTCAACATATATTTAGATTACTGTTGCCTTTTATTGTTTTAAAAAGGAAATGCTATATTCATTAAAAAACTAAGTGTCAGCCTGTTTTAAGTTTCTCTTTCATTCTTGATGCTCTCAGTCTCCTCTCCCTTTGCTCTCACTGTTAAGACACCCCCCCTTCAGAGCGCCATCGCAACACAATTAGTGTGAATTTTGCTAATGAAGCTACTGCACATCACATCCGGTTTGTCAAGTTGTTGTGCAGAGTTTTGTTTCATGCTTATGTATATTTATAGAGAATTGACATGTAGGACAGAATTTTAGAGCTAAACATAAAGAGGGTTTAAAAGAGATCGCTAAATTACTGAAACATACACAAATGACATCTAAAAGCTCTTCAGGATTGATTTTGTATAATATCCCCTCCTTAATGAACTGATTTCAGATAATACTACTACTACTACTACTACTACTACTACATCCCGAATACAGTAAATTCAGATCGATGCAAATTTTACACATTGTACTCATTATATTATAACTGTGATACACTCAATCCAACACCTTCAATTAAAAACATAAAAAGAAATGTATAGTCTGTTCACTGGAGTAAAACCCAGCTGCTAAAATCTTTGTGTAGTAAAGTCAATCTCCTCAATATGACACTTTATGTTAATGTAATAATAGGCATGAATAGGAATAGTTAAAATAAAATAAAAAGTAAGGATTTCACAATGACATAAATATTTACATCAGAACACATATGTATATAAGTTTGTATGTAATATATCTAAGTTAACATTAAGTTTGTTGTTGCCAAGACCAAAGAGATCAGATGACTCATATGAAATGTAGATACAAATTGATCAGGAAGTGATGGTGAGTCATCAACTGAATGAATGAAATAAAACTGAAGCAAGATGCATAGATGCTACTTGAGTATACTGCTGTAGAACTACACATCTACCACAGACTCTATAAGTACAAGTATAAGTGGACTAAGGGAGTGTGACGTCACCCATAGTGTTTGGCTCCAGTCAAATGAAGCGCACGAGGGAAGCCGTTAAAGGGGCTAATTTGAAGCTGAGATTAGGAATAGGAATTGATTTACAGACAAAATAGCAAAATAAAGACACTAGGGCCATTTCTGAATCAAAATGACGAGGCTCACAGCAGCAGTTACAGAGAGAGGGGTGACAACTTTTCAATGTAAAGACAGATGGAGTCAGAGTTGATGGAGTCTGAGGCCCCTATAACCATTTTGTCATTATATATATATATATATATATATATATATATATATATATATATATATATATATATATATATATATATATATATATATTATAGGTTAAAGTAGACTTTTATTGACCTTTTATAGAAATTTGTCTTTTGCATTTGACCCATCCTACCTATTACCTAGATAACAGCAGGTTATAACAGCACATATCCTTTAAAGGTCGCACGTTATAAAGTTACCACACTGGGAAAAAAACAAAACAAAAAAAACAAAACAATATCTAAATAAGTTAAAATGACTTAAATTAAGAACATTTAACTTTATTTGAAAAGATTCAGCTTGAAGTAAAATGATCTACCAGTGGAATAAGTGTGTTTTTCTTAATTCAAGTGTCTTTCAATTTTGTTTCTTATTTTAAGTGCAAAAAGCTGTTATTTTTCTTATTTTAAGTGTAGCAAGATGTATTCTCATATTTTAAGTACAAAAACTCTTGTTCCACTGGCAGATAATTTTACTTGTCAAGTGAAATTTACTCAAATCACGATAAAACTTTCTTAATTCAAATCATCTTAACTTGGCTAGATTTTGTTTTTTGCAGTGCACCACAGCCAAAACATCCCCAGAGTATTTTTTTTGTTATTATAGACATTTAAGTAACCCTTTATTATTAGTCTGTCTACATTTCCAAAGCTCGAAATGCTCGGTTCCACCATATGATGTCATGAAGTGGTAGTTTTCAAGTGAACAGCTACATTTGAAGTTTTTTACATAAATGATTCAAGTGACGGTGTATGGAGTTTTAAAACACAATGGAGCACTTCCTGTATTACGGCATGACATCACAAAGCGCGGGAGATTTGTGCGTTGAACATGTGTGAGGAAAAAAAAAAAACACAACAAAAAACATAACTCCATGTATGTTTTTGAAGAGGAAACTGAATTTTTCCACAATACATTTTCCAGATCTTGATACAGCAGAGTCCAGTGTTTGTGTCCAAAATAGTCCCTTAATATAGAGGTGCCAGACTGCCATATTATTACAGTGCAGACTTGTTTGTGTATCCCTCCTCCACAGTGCGGGCCTCACCACAGAGCCAGCAGCAGTGGGTTTATGCTGCGTGTGGCTCCAGCCGTGAGCAGGTTCACTCCAATCATCAACAAGTCTCCATCTGTGCAACAGTAACCAAGAGAATCCACTAGTAATGACGCTCATATGCACCAGTGCTTACCCACAAGCCCCAGCAATCTCCATAAACCACGGCATTAATCAAACATGCCCAACGAGAGCGCAAGACTTTATTAGCAAATGTTTTTATTGGAAAATATGTTACACGCAAATCCAAAACAAACAGGTGAAGAGGGGGCGCTGGTGTTTACACAATATGTTGGAAATTACGAAGGCAAATATACCGGCACTGTCACTTAGGATTTTGTTATATTTCCGTATTTGACAATGCACGCTGAATGTATTTAGAATCTATTCTCCAAACTGCAGAAGGAGCTAAAGAGTTATCTCAGGTCAGGACAACAATGCGACTGTTCAATCTGAGCTTTGTTTTAAAAATAACTGATCTGTTGATTACATCAGGTAAAATGATTTGTGCTGTTAAACAGTCCTTATCAAATTGCATTACAGTCACACCTAGGTAGCATTAGGAAACAGTTTTTCACCTTTTTTGTTGAAAATGAAACACCTAAACAGGAACATGAACACTCGTATTGATCACAGTCTCCTGAAAATGTGCTGTTGAAATCCTTTATGTATTTTTTCTTGAGTTTTTAACCTGTTAAAACTTTTTTATTTATTTATTTTTTCTGTTTGCCGTGTGCATTATGTCACCCAGCCTGATTCATCAGCTGGTTTCACTTCGTAGAAACCGTCTGACCTCACAGCATTAGAATTCACATGGTAGGCGGGTACTTTTTTCATTTAACCAATCGTTGCTATTTGGTTGTGACACAGGTAATGCGCCGCTAGCAGGGTTAACTATATTAAGCTTTTCCCAAGTTCCGTATGAAGAAGGACAATAACGTCTTTCCCCTTGATTAAATTCACTGAATATTCTCTTTGTTACGGCTTCATATCCTTGATCTCGGGAATTGTTGCCAACACAGAAAATATAGCTTTTCGCTGATTGGCTGGTGCCAGAACTTGCACTTCCAAGGTTTTTGCAAATTGTCTAGTGTATCCCTATTCCTGACTTAGTCACTGGAGAGAAATGAAATTGAGCGGAGGCACTAGGTGGCACCAGCCTGGCTATGTGTCACCAAGATAACTGCTTAACAATAGAGCTACATGTAGAACACCTCCATCAATAAATCACTTTTGACTTCCCTATTAAAGGTACACAACTTTATTAGCAAATGTTTTTATTGGAAAATATGTTACATGGAAATCCAAAACAAACAGGTGAAAAGGGGACATCGGTGTTTACACAATATGAAACTGCAAAGGCAAATCTACCAGCACTGACAGAGCACGTTTACTGAGAATGTATTTAAAATCTATTCTCCAAACTGCGGCAGAAGCTAATGAGTTATCAGGTCAGGACAACAATGTGTGTCTGTTCAATCGGGCACTATTAAGACTGGCTTTAACAGCAGATAATGAGATTCTAAGTAGACCGCAAAGATAATAGCGTTTGATGGATTCTTGGTGGAAGGATTAGTTTGTGCAAGGAAGGCAATTTTGATCTTGAAATAAGAAATATAAAATGCTATTAATCATACAAATTATTAACTTTCCCTGTACTTTTGAAAGGTCAAAGGCAAGTTAGACATGCATGTAGAAAGTAGAAAACACTGGGATTCGTAATGTAGTAAATTAATCAAATCTGTGCCACCTAAATTTTAATTATATTAGTTGTTCTATGCAGGACCATCAAGAGAAATGTGGGGGCCTAGGGCAAGACGACTCACATGGGCCCCCCTCTAATATAAATTAATAGTTTGAGGGTCCAATTCTGGGCCCCTAAAACCTTGGGGCCCAGGACAACAGACCCCTTTGTCTTTTTTTTTTTTTTACTAGGAATGAACATCTTTAATTTTATCTAAAAAGGTTTTATAGTCCATTGTTTTATATAATAACAAAGATTTGCTCTTCAAGGACCTTTTCTGAATAAAACAATCTCACCAAAGCACTTTAGAACTATTTGCAAAACAATGCACTTTATAAAAATTAATGAACTAAATGTATTTCTATTAAGCTTCGATATTGTTTCAGCAACTGTTAGCGCTCAGGGTAAAATTACTCATTATGAAATGAAGATGAATGCCCTTTTACATCTATGCATTAATTAACTGAACATGATTTATAAATTATTATTTGGTTTTATTCCAGAAAGATAATATTATCTTGTCTAAATGTGCTCTATTTTATGCTTGGGTTTGTATTTTGATTTACCTTATAACATAACATTTTTATTACTTTGTTTTTTTATCAAGTTGTACAAACAGACAAAAAGACCAATATAATAAACTAAACAAACAAACAAAAAAAGATAAAACAAATTTAACATTTTCTGCATGCTAGTCCATTAACACATATGTGTTCTAGAGGAGAGATAGACTGACATATTAGTTGGCCTAAATATTCCTGATAATATATATGTATAAAGTTTTGTTTGAACACTTTAGTCTTAAGAGGATACTGCAAAAATTACTACACTGCTTTCTACAAGGTTGGGGATGATTTTGTTTTGAATTCTTATTAGATAATTTCTGGAAATGCCCAAAACTGGCCTTATATATCACCCTAAAAATATCACCATAAGTCATCGACCATCGGTTCCTTTGGGTTCTAAACAATCGGTATTGGCCATGAAGAGAAAAAGGAAAAAAAAAAAAAAAAACACATATCAGCCGATTTCTAGTCTAGAGGAATGTCTGTCAAGGAAAAGCAATCCAGACAAAACATGAAAGAACTACTATCCAAATTCAAACCTTGCTGCATGGTGCCGGTAAAAAAAAAAAGTACTAAAAAATAATATTAGAAAGAGTCCAGGAGGTCCATGATCCTCTTCCTCTCAGCTTCTTTGAACTCCTCAGTCTTCCCATCGCCAATGCTCTCTGCATACTCTGAAAAACACCAAAAGAGGGACTTTTCATTAGACTGTATGGCTCTCACACATTTGACAGAGAAAAGCAAGAGACTGCAAAACCCACAATTGGCTCTGTGCACTGTTAGCAGAGGTAGTTACATTTAATTGTGTAACTTTTTAAAGAAACTGTACTTTTCAGAGTACTGAAAGCAGCATACTTTCACTCCTACTTAGTAATTTTTTAAATTTTTAAATTTTAGAATAATATTTTTGCTGAAGTAAAAAATGTTTGTACTACTCTTTGGAAGTGCCTTTCATTTAGACAGTGACGGCGTTTTTGGGGCTTAAAAATGCAAAAATCTGAAACTACACTCCAAGACACAAAACTCTGGTCAGATCTGCTCACGTCGCGTATACGTTTACATCACATACATCACAACCTAGTGTCACCACAAGCCACTTGGCATGCACACCCAATCGAATTCCACACACTTTTGCGTCACTGTATGCACAGATTTCCTCCTGAAAACACTTGTCTAAGAGCGGAATAGAAAGTGAAGTGAAGACGCGACGCCATTTTTGCATCTTCTGTTCAGACTGTCATCATATAAACATAATCTCAGTCAATGAATGATAAAAGCTTCATGTTGAAAATATGAAATGATTTGAACATTTGTGTTTGTTGCACCACTCCTTCATATGTAAAGTAATTTCTCTAATTTTTGTCTATACTTTGAAGATAACAGATATTGTGTCCCAACTGCTGCCCTTTAAGTTACTGCATTTATATTTTATTTTATAGTTTATGTTTGAATAAAAGTTTAGCATTAGCTCCCCAACCTATTCTCAAACCCAGTCAAATCAACCCATTTAAAATCTTTGTAAAATACTCATGTTCTTATTTGACAGTTCTCCTACTTCAAACACATCTTTAAAGACAAGTTCACTTTCTGCTATATATTTCAATCACTATATTAATAAAAAAGACTTAAAGAACACCAAATCCCAGTCAGCGGCCTTATTGCTATGCCTTAAAGAAGAGTAAAAAGTAGCTCAGTTCAATATGTCTTGCAGATTGCACAAAGCTTAAAACAACCCTGGATGTCTCAGAAGAAGCTGCACAGTCTGGTACAGTATGTTCTGTGTCTACAAACATACTGCAGGTAGAGCACACTGCAGAGTGGAGAGAGGACACTTGATTGTGCCATTTCCTTCATTTTCTCTGGTTCCTCCCACACAAGGCCTTCTGAGAGACGCTGCTCCATTTGTGAGTCTAATGTAGAGCAGGAGAAGGAGCAGCAGCCTCACACACAGAGCAGGATTACACACGGAGAAAGGTGTTCCTACTCATACAAAATAAAACATACTAAATAAATGTTTATAGTGACACTGCAACTGATGTGATGCTAAGTGAAAGCACTACTCTGTTAGAAGCTCGATTACTTAAGTTAGACTTTAATCTGAGGTTTGTTTTAACACATTTTAGCACAGAAATAGCCGACTTGTGCTGTAAAACAAATCTTTCTCATAAGCAGCAGTTTTTCAGTTAGTCACTCTCACTTTTTTGTTGAAATTCAAACACAAAAATCATGAATATTTTTTTCATGAGTTTTCAGACTATCTTCAAACTTTTTGGTCTGCGTTTCTTGTGTGTGCATTGTGTCACCATGGTAACTGCTGAAAAACAGAGATACAAACAACACAAGCGAGATGTCACTGCAGAGTATCAAAAAATCATTTTTGCATTCCTTTTAACATGATATATAATAAGAAGCATGCATTAAAGATGCACTATAGGGTTGTAACAATAACCAAATTATCATGATATCGTATCGTCAAAACTCTCATAATAATATCAGAGGCCATCACAGAATTACAAGTTTCTTTACTTAAGTGAATAGTTATGTTAATGTCTTTATTTATGTTTTTAATGTCTGTCTGTAATGTATTGCATACCGCGCTGTTGAGTTGCTATACCGCACCGCAGGAGAAATTTCCTAACCACGGCAGCCCTACTATCCAGCATTTATTTCATTTTATGTTTTTAATTCTGTAACCTGCTTGTCTCCCCTGTGATAAATAGGTTTAATCTATACTGTGGAACATTCTAGACAAAGCAATAACGTTTCCTTGGAGAAAAGCAAGTGGCAGACCCTCCATTAAAAATTTTACACAGTGCACCTTTAAGTCGACCCATGCTCAATTAAAAATAAATATGATAGAGTTAAACAAGGGAAGTTGCAGACACGTAAACAGAAGGTACTTGATCTGAAGAGGGCCACAGGAGCCAAGGCCTGTCTGGAGCTTTATATAAGAGCTTCTATGCAGGGCCCTGACGCGTGGTGCAGAGAGGAGGCTACAGAGGCAGAAGTGACAGTGTGTTGAGCAGGTCTGCAGACACACACAGGGACATGAAAAGCCCTGGCCTCTCCCTGACAGCCCTGAGCCCGCTCCCGCTCTATAAATGGAGAGGCGGTGCACACGGTTCACTCGGGTCAGACATCACTGACTTTTAACTCTGTGTAAAGCTGTCCGGTGGCAGCCTGCTGTCACCACGGCAACCACACAGGAGCCTACAGGACAGTAGCGAGAGGGGCATTACCGAGGTCAGGGACAGGTCTGTAGACAGGAAGAGACAGGAGCAGACAGGAGCACTGCTGCAGGTGAAATGACATTGTGTCAAGAGTTGGCAATGACCATTTTAAAGAAAGCCCATTTTAGTATTGTCAGGATCCAGTTGTCTACTTATGACTGTATGAACTAAACAAACTTTGCCAAACATTTCAGTGAGTTTGTAGATCCTTCAAAAAGTATTCAATCTTTTTATGGCATATTCTGGATTTTTGGAACAGTTTATGCCACCTTAATGAGGGAGTATTTTACCATCTATTGGGAATTAGCTGCTCACACATAACATATTTAAATTAACATGTTACCTTTTATTTTTTTGAAAATTCTACATTTACCATAAACAAATGCAGCCATGTATTAACAGGTTTTCTAAGTTTTGCTTTTGACGCTCTGAGCATCCCCTTCCCTTTGCTCTTCACATTAAGTCACCACCCTTTCAGAGCGCTATCCCAACACAATCATCGTGCATCCTGCTAATGAAACTACTGCACATCACATCAGGTTTGTCAAGTTGCTGTTACAGTTCTGAATCATGTTTTTTGTATATTTATGGAGAATTGTTGTGTGGGAGCATGGATGACATAGGATTGTGGGCTGAGCGTTTCACAGAACCTTGCAGCTACCCGTAAGGAGGGTTCAAACAGGGCCCGGGAGAGGTCACTAAATTACTGAAACATGCATGGATGATATCTAAAACCTCTTCAGGAATGTTTTTGATAAGGGAACAATGTAGGTAGAACAGAAACATATTTTGCTTAATAGGAATCAATTCTTTAAATATTTTAGTTAAAATTGTATTACTGCTTATTTATCTGCTTTTCTGTGAGACCTTACATGAACTTCAAGGCATGGGGAAACTGGTAAAAAAGCTTTACCCTTGGATTGCTAGAACTCTCTCCAACTCTAATGCAATTGTTTTTTATATGTCGCATGTGTATGAAACAGTTTGTTTAATTAAAGTTAAAAAGTAAGCAAGTAACTATATCACTAACAAAAGCAGCCATCCTATAACTGAAGCCAGAAAATGAAGTAAATAGAGCCAAAACTTGCAGCAATCTTCATGTACACTAATTGAAAACTGTCAAAGCGGCGACTGAGGCTGAGCACTTAATTTGAGTGCCTACATTTATGGACCATCTCCTGAGAAGTTTTATAGATAATTACTGAGACAATGGATTTTCACCGAAAGCAGCCCATTTCCCCCGAACTCTCTCCTGATGACATCTACTACAATGTTCGACCATTAGTGATTCACTACCGAATACCTCAAACTGAGAATACTGCCATAACTGCTATAATTATGAACTGGACTCTGCATTGATCCAGCAGTCTAACCCATTTGCACCTTATACTGTAACTATCTCTGCCTTTTTCCCTCTTGTACATAGCTGAGATATACTTGTATTACTATATTTTGTATTTTTATTCTACATAAACATTTATATAATCACCTTATTTGACACCAGTCTCTTGCTATTTTTGCTTTTTATTTTTCCTTTTTTAAGCTTGTTATTATTGTGATGATTGAGCTACTGTGTCCAAATAATTTCCCATTTTGTCCACCTTGGCGCACTGGAAGCACTACTAGATAAAGTAACAAAAAGAACATCATAACTGAGTAGAAATGTGGCACTAAGGAGATGCCAAGTTGAAATGTGCCAATTAAAAACAGTGTATGCTCACTCAGTGGAACAATGCCAGGCACCAGCTATTTTCACACAGCAAACACATCAGTGGTGGCAATCTAGTGTGTGACGGTTTCTAAATTAAAACGCCAACAGATTTCAATTTTAAGTAAATAGGAAAAAGCTATATAATCGAGGCAAAACAGTAACATCTTCGTGGAGGCCAGCAGATGGCGGGCTCTCCATCAGAAAAAATTACACAATACACCTTTAAAAGTGTCTGATGGAATTATTTTTTTTATTTTGTAATATTGAACCAGTGACACCAAATAATGTAACTCAATATATTTAATAGCAGCTCCAATGTAAGCTATACACACGCAAAAGATAGTAAAACATGTTTTTTGCATGAGGTTACAATGTCACTGACTTCATTATTACAGAACAAGGGAGTGCATGCCTGTTTTACATTTTAATATTATCACTTGCTACAACATACATGGACAATTTGTAATGAATAACCAATAAAGTTTAAAATCAGTATTCACATCCTCAAGAGCACCTCACTTATTCACAAGCTAATGCTATTAGGAGCAGGACGCCGGGTCAATGACACTCTGTATGCAATTAACCTTTGAGTACAGTTTCACATTAACTGGGCAAATTCAAACAAGGACCAGCCAGTAGAGGTGACTGCAAGGCCAAACACACGCACAGGCAGCAGACAGACAGCTGTGGTGCACTGCCAGGGTTGTGCCATAGACAGGGCTGGGTACCAAAACAATAAGTGACCACTTGGTATCAAATGCTGTGGTGTTTTAAGAAAGTTTATAATGTAAAAGTGTCAAATGATTTACTAGTAGTTCTTCTAATTAACAAGTTTTGATGCGTGCCATGTTCTGAGAAATAGAATTAATTAGGAGACCCAGCATAAACATAGTGTCTTCCATTGTCTATTTAATGTTATTTTAATAGTATTATTTGTTTTAGAGGATATTTTATATTTATACTATAGTAGGATAATTACTTATACTTGCTTAAATATTAGGTTCCAATGTCAAGCTAAAAAAAAAGAAAAAAGAATATCATTTGGTTGTTTCTGTGTGATACAACAAATGGCCACTGTGATTTCACTTTAAATATGACAGGAGATTGATAGCATAATTTGAACAACTTTAAAACTTTATCAAGTTGATCATCATAAAAAAGTGCCATTTCCCTGCTCCCTTTGCGCTAGAACATGTTTGATCGTCCCTGACACAATCCTGTTTCTCACACTATAAAAACCTCAGGTACAAAACTTAAATGTATCGTAACTTTGAGGCTGTAAAGACTCACAACAATATGCAATCTATTCAAACTGTCATCATGCCTGAAAGAAAACCATGTCCCACTAGCGACCATTGAATGTATGCAAATGTGAAGATGGAGGAGACAAAAGTTTCACCGTGAGCCAAATGTCCCCAGACAGAAGAGGGCCGCGGTGACTGGAGGTGAGCCCTGTACTGACACACTGTAGAGAGTATGACTGATGGCTCTATCTGTACTGTTATATACCACACAGAGCCAGGGTCTAAACACAAGCAAACGCAGGAAGGGATGCAAGACAATCCAAAAAAACCAAAAAACGACTGGGAATCACAGTGTCCCTCACGATTCGATGCGATACAATATTATCACTATATGGCGGTACATGTAGGACTGTCACGAATAATACAATACTGAGTTATCGTTCAAAATGTGATGGATCGAACTATCATTTTTGGTGGTCAAAATTTATCATGAGTAGTTTTTTCTTTGTATTAGAGGAAATTTTTGGTTATTTTTTCTGTAGTATGCTAAGATTTGAGTTGAATTATGAACTAAAACTATACAATTGCATAACTAAAGTGTTGCATTCTGCAAGTTACTGCAACTTGTTGCTTGCATTACTGCTGAATTAGAAAAAAAAAAAAAAAGCATGATGGTGATAAAAGCAATCAGTTAAGAAAAACTTTATGAAAAAAAAATCAGATTATTTGTGGATTATATTTCATGACTTCAGTCTGATTGGATGTAAGTGAATGAACTAAAACTATACAATTGATATTGTTGCATTCTGCTGTTTATTACTGCATCATATTTTTGACTTGAATACTTTGAATGGATGGTTTCAGTATTATCATGCATCGTCTATATTTACTCAAAATTTGTGAATGTAAGAGGCTTTGATGCATGATAATCGATATATATCTGTTTTTAAAAACCAAATACATTTATACAGTATTTCTGTTAAATCTCCAGTTGTGCAAAGTGAATACCTATAAAAATAAACAAAACAATGACAATGTCAATGAATAGTACATTTGCTGGGTTGCAGATGTCATCACAACATTCTATAGGCCAATAATATTTAATACAGATGGGGGGGTAGCTAAAATTATAATTACCAAATTGCATTTTTTGTTGTAATACAGTGAGTTTTTGGGTCTAGTCACTAATAAAAATGACCAGGTTCAACATTTTGTGAATTTTTACAATGAAATCTTGCCACCATCTGAGAGTCTTGACATCACATTTTAGAATCTGAAAACCACCGATAAACATGTTTCCTTTCACTAAATAAGCAACAAAATTGTCATGCAGTCACAAAAAAATTGTTAAAAAAGATACCAAAAAACATTCTCCATGATGTATCAATACAGCAGCCCGCAATAACAATAATGTTATATATTTTTGCACACCCCTAATAAAAACACATAAAGACATAAAGGAAAACTAATATAATATACTACACAGCGGCAGGGAAATTTAAACAACCCATAAAAATATGAAAAAGCTGACAAAGATGAAACAAGTTGACTTGAATATGAATAAAACAAGTATATCATTAAATGGTCTGAACTAATTTGAAATAAAATCTAATGCAGAAACTAATCCTGTCCTTGGTTATTCATGGCAGAGTTAAATAGGATACATTTTAATCCTACTGCATTGATGCCTTAGGTACAGTATGTAATTTAGGCTGTTTTACCTATAAGAAAAACACCTATAATTGAATAAGTGCAAGAGAGTGTTTAATGCCACCACATTAAATAATACATCCACTGCAATTACAAACTAATGTAAAACCTGAAAAAGTTAGTATTTTCTCAAAGTCATAGTTTTGGATAAAAATATTTATATTGTTCCAGCATAACCACTCTGCAATACAAACAGCAAATACCTCCTATCAAAGCAGCTCAGCCAAACACAGTGTTTACACCAGCACTCGCCAATCACTGCCAGAACAAAAAGCAAGTGGAAACCAGAGTTTGTGAATGCAATATAGTGTTTTAAGTAAATGCTGTTTGACTTATTCAGTTTTACTAAGCCAATAAGAAGTAGGCAGTACTGAGAGGAGAATCACTGACTCTGAATGAACAGGCCAGTAAAAGCAGTCCATCAGCTGTAACTAAGCAGCTTTAGACGGCTCACAGCCCAGCAGTGATCACTGAGCTGTGAGAGTCACACCATAGTCCGAGTGCACACCAATACTGCTTTTGCCAAGACTACTGGACAAATAAATATGTTTGGAAAACTTGGGGAAAAATTGAATTAGGAAATTATGTACAAAAAGCAAAAACATAATCACAACTCAAAATTTGGTTTGGTTTGTTGCGCTGGAGAGTGTAAATATGTATGAGTTCACTTCAGCCGAAATGCTCTAATTGAATAAAGTCCCTTGTTAAAAGAAGGGCTGTCAAAATGATTGATACCTAAATGCTAATTGATACAAAAACTAATTTGAAGCTTCAGTACATTTATTTTGTGTTGAAAGTGACATTTTATTGATATCTAGTATCTGGTGTTGAAACTGAACTGGTGGAACAGCTTATTAGAGTAATATAATGCAAACAACACAGTATAAAGTCCTCACCTCTCATTATGTGTCGTATCACTTTGACAGAGCCTCCTCTGACGTTCAGAATCTGCTGGACTCTTTGCTGCAACTAAAAAAGAAAGATTTTGTTGATTTACGACAGAACACAAACAACATGTGCTTATGTTTTACATAACGTAACCACATAAACAAGTCGCAATTTTTTTAATGTACTAACATGAGGCAATACTTTTACATGTTCAGCACTAGACTGAGTTGCTTTATTTTACATACTGAACAGTCATTGCTGCACACAACTGTTCAAAATAAAAGCATTGTAAGTACTTGTGCTATCCCCGAGTTGCTGATCTCCACCATAATGTAGCAGATGAGTTGTAGAACAAACAGCCCAGCGTCCAGCCTTCTGAGGTAGAACTCATCTTCCATGCTGTCGTCCAGGATCTCCCCTCGCCGCACCATCTCCTGTGAGAACAAATAAACAAAAATAAATTAATAAAGAACTGAGACTACAACTGCAAAACACACCGTTCTGCACGACTACGCCCGATAAATTACAATCCATCCTCCACAGCCTCAAAGTGATCCAACAAACCCACAAACCTGGGCGCTTAAGTTTCGTTTAAGCCTTGTTTTTCAGCTTTCCCACAAATCTATTTTTCCCATTCGGCCGACGCACAGATCAATTGAATTCTCTGCTAAAGTGTGGGGTCCCCTCGCTTCTGCTGCTCGGGGGCCTGCATGTACACGCTCGCCCGGTGTAGTTATCCATCTTAACAGGCTTGTCAGTATGCCAATAACGCAGCGCTGCCAATAGGAGCCCAGTCCGCATTAATCATCATTAGTGATCAGTGAGCAGAGCTGGGGGGAGACGCAGACTCGACTGGAATCCATTGGAGTGGTGCAGAACTACAGAGCTAAGGTGCACTGTGAAAAGCATTGCCAAGTGCAGCTGTAATGGTTTTCAATAGAGTATAAAAAGGCATTATTAGCAATATGCAGGCTTCTTATGATGTTAGTGCGTTCTATATAATTGGCCAGTAATGATGGAAGGAAGGATGTGGTGAGGGATTATCGTGGAAGCAGGTAAAGGTTGTGTGGTGAATTTGTTGTTGAATGGTAATAATGCAGCATATTACATAACAGCATCATATTAAAAACACACACAATTTAAATTGCAATCGAATTAAAATTTTGATTAGCAAGGCCGACGCCACCTAGTGCCTCCGCTCAATTTCATTTCTCTCCAGCGATTTGGTCAGGAATCAGAATACACTAGATGGTTCGCAAGAATCACGAAAGTGCAAGTTCGGGAACAAGCCAATCAGAGAAGAGCCATATATTCTGTGTTGGCAATGATTCCCGAGAACGAGGATTTAAAGCCGGAACAAAGAGAACATTTGGTGAATTTTATCAAGGGAAAAGACGTTATTGCCCTTCCTCCTATGGGATTTGCGAAAAGCTTAATATACCGGTTAGCCCTGTTAGCGGTGCATTACATATGTCACGAACAAATAGCAGTGATTGGTTAAATAAAAAAAGTACCTGCCTACCGCCGAGTGAACAAATTCTAATTCTGCGAGGTCAGACAGTTTCTACAAAGTGAAACCGGCTGATGAATCCAGCTAAATTTTGATGGCCACAACTGGCAAATTGCAAAGTTTTTTTTTTTTTTAACAATTAAAATAACAAAGATGAACTGGTGTCAAAATGCTCTCACAAAGGAATAATTGGTAGGCATAATAAGCTCAAGCTTCAGTTTACACCTTTTTGGTCTGTGCATGTTAAATATGACTGTCTGTGAAATAATGTCAGAATATACCTGTGACTGAAATAAATTAATCAATCAAGCAATCAGTCAATCAATACCATAATTTCCTCCACAAACAACAGAATATTGTGTTCTGCATTCTGCAATTCTGCATAAAAACTGCTAACCCTGTAGTCTACATCTGTACAAAAATGCTCTGAAATGTGATTATTGTATTAGTTTGTCAGCTCATTTTTCACTCTTTTCTTCAGGATCTCTTCAAAATGCAAACTTTAAGCAAAATTACTTTCAAAAAAATCGCTCAGCCCTAATTTCAACAATCAAAAAATCAAAGAAGAGAGAGAAGAGCCATTGTGTGAATGTAATCGCTGAAAAAAGACAAAAGTGTCCTGTCTGCCCATATCCACAATTTCAGATTATTTATTTTGATGATTATTATCACCAGAAAATAAATACTGGCTCTTTGTTAATAGAGACCCCTGTAAAATAATCAAGTTAGAATCCATCAATTCCCTTACACACATATAGTATACTGAGGAGAGGTGTATCGATTCACACAGTGTTAGAGGAACAGTGTGCTTTCATGAACACAGTCACTAAATAGAATCACTCTCTTCGCTTTTTTGAAGTTTTGAAGCAATATACCACATCAACCCCCATTCTATTCAGGTTTACAAAGTCTAAATGCAATCAGTGAGGGAGGTACAAAATGTTCCCTCTGTCTGGGCCAATGGAACGCGTCATCTTTACTGTGCAGATTTCTATACACATTATTCAACACGCAACCATGATTTAGTTGTTTCAGTTATCAGCCTGAAATCAAAATAATGTATGGCTGAAACTAAAAATGACTATGCAAATGCATTTCCATTTAGCATGATAAAGTAGTTTGCCATTTGCCTGATACCTCTGTTCCATATATCTTTATCTGCAGCGTAGAACCTGTGGATTTATGCATTTCTCAAAATCACACACATTAGTAAAAACGTATTAAAATGGCTACAGTATAATGCATGTGCGTGTGGCTCAGCTGGACCGAACAGCGTAGGTAGAAAGCTCATCTTCATTTGAATAATACGTGATATATGGTAAATCTGGCTTATAGAACTATATGCTCTGTACCCTAAAGCTTGAGACAGTAAATCAACAAAAAGGGCAGCATTCCAAAGTGTTGCTAATGAAAACAAATAGCTCACAGTGCTGAGGTAAAGGCTACTACACATGGCATTTGCGTTGTGATGATCTAATCGGAGAGAAAATTAAAACTTCCAAAAGGCCCTGTCCTTAAAGATCAATTACACTGTAGCAGCCAATTATAGACGCTAAGTTCAGGCCATTAACAAGCTTCTATCAAAGGCCAACCTAATGGAGACTACAGTACACAGTGTAAGAACAAAGCAGTAGCACAGATGTAGATCTAGATGTAGACATGTACTCAAAATGCCAAACCACACAATGGCATACTGGTATATTTTTATTATATTTATTTATTTCAAAAAGTGATAATTAGGATATGTATTATTTGTGCATGTATGTGAAGTAATGCTGTCACAGTACACAAATTGGGCATGTGATTTCTTTTTTTTATTAAATTTAGTTCTTTTAAAGGTGCAATGTGTAACTTTTCTGGTACAAGTCCAGCACCTGGTTGTATCTATGGAGATATGCAAAGAAGATGTCCCACTTATTTAATTATAGGTATTTTTTTTTTTACTAATACATTGAAGAAATGCATACATAAAATCAGCTAAATTATTTATCAAAATCACTTCATTTGATGCTTTAATTGTTCTAAAACTTTTTTTTAGTCTGAAAGTACATTTCAAACAGGTACTTCAATACTTTTACTTAAGTAGATTTTCCAGGTGATACTTTTACTTGAGTAACCTTTTGCCTCTGTATTTGTACTTTTACTTAAGTAACAAAACTGAGTATTTCATCCATTTCATTCCTCCATCACTGCCTGGAACAAACCAATCCTCGAGCTTAAGTCCTGACCAAGACCAGCTCAAAACCTGGAGGTGGATCTTGAGAGCGCTCCCATGTGGTCGCACTCTGTTACTGACTTCTTAACCCTAAAACACAAATTTATTTAAAGGTACAATACGTAACTATTTATCTATCTATTCAGAACCGCTGTCAATGTCTAACCTGCTTTTAAATCATGCCCATATTTTGTCTGATCACCTTGTTTTTTATATATATCCTCTTTTAATTGTTCTTTATGCAGAGTCTTTGAGTGTTTAGAAAAGCACTACATAAATAAAATGTAGGCTATTATTATTATTTTTTTTTTAAAAGAGAAGAGAATCAAGAATGTGATTTTCAATACTAAACTGTACTACTTTCTTTTATATTATCATGTGGTCTTATATATATTAAAAAAAACAACAATATAATATTCTTGAGTGTAGTTACTTGAAAATACATTCTAAAATCCTGAAAGTTATGAAACAAACCGGCTATAAACCACAATATTATATACACTTGGTTGAAATTAGGTTAGGATAAAGCAATGCAAACTTAACATGAAAAAAAGAAACAAACAAACAAAAAACAGTATTGTATCCTTGTATGTAGTTGAGACTTGAAAATACTGCATTTTTAAATCTTGAAATGTACAAAACAAATGGACAATAACTCAAAATATTATTCATTTCATACTGAGGTGAGCTTAGGATACAAAGCAATGCAAACTTAACATGTAAGGTTTAATAAATCCAGTGAATCTAGGTCATTTATCTTGTTGCTGGCCTCAAGGTGGAATTCTGGCCTGGAATTGTGTGTTCCTGCAAAACAGACTTATCGCACTATAAAACACTCCCTAAGTCTGGCCCTGCCGCTGTCAACATGTGCTCATTAAAGATGCAGAAGAATACGGAACAAAGCGATGTGAATGTAAACCACTCTGCCTCCTGTAGGAAAAACAGATTATCCCAGTTTCCAGAAGGGCTTTGGAAGTTGGGAGTCTACGAGCGTGGGGCCAAGTTTTACAATGTGCACAAAGACATTCTTTAAAATAGGCAAAAGCAGGTGGCCAGCTGTGAGAGTGACAGAAATATCAACAGCCTTGGGGTTAAAAAGCCAGAAAACAAAACAAGGGATGCACCAATTTCATTCCATAGCAGTGGATGTGTTTGGGTTTACAGTATTGTTTTATTTTACAAACAATATAAATGGTATTAATATAGGAATAACATTCACTAGCATTATTCATAATATACACAGCAACTACAAAAATGATGAGGTCTTAAGATGTTTCACTTTATGATTCAGAACAGAACTAGTTCATGTGCAGTGGACAAAAGTGATTTCTCAAATACCTAATACATTCTGAGCATCCTAATTACAGTTATTACCCGTTTTGACATTACAGTAACACTTATAACTACTAGCATGCTAACGTGGACTTTCTGATTACTGGATAATAAAATGCCTTCTAATTTATTTATAGCTCAAGAGCAGCTTACACACTGTATATGTACAAACGTTTTCTGCTCAAAAACATGCTAGGTACAGGGCCTTTAACTGAAGTTTTTTTGTATTAAGGATTATGAAAGCAGCTTTTATACAGTGTTGACAAAATTATTTTGTATTGTACTTAATTTTGTCTATTTCTTAACAAGATTTTTGACATTCCTTGTACTTGAGCTTTGGCTAACACTGACAATTTAAAAGCAGTGTTTTTATGTCT